TTCCCTTTAGTCCTCAGTGTCTGTTATTGATAGAATACATTGCATGTAACTTGTTGCTGTGCCCCAGAAATGCCTCAGGAAACGGGAGAGAGCAGCAGTTGTATCATCACAGTATTGCTGTTCCCTGCCGGGTCAGAATCTGCTGAATACTGAACAATAGGGAAAAAATCCTTCTTTTCATCCCAGAAATGTGGGATACCAGTAAAGCCTGGAAATCCTGCGCTCACTTATGGTAGTGCTGCTTCTTAACATTTTGGTTTTGCTGAGTGTTGATAGAACCTCAGCTGTGTGAGCTGCTTCTTGAAGGTCTTACCACAGAAAAATCTATGCAGTGCTCAGATACTCTGATAACAAGGATTGTGTTAGTATTAGGATTTTTGACTTGTACAGGCCTCTGCTAGAAAGCTGGAGGATGGACAGTGAAAGATAGCAGGCAGTGAGAATAAATTTAAAAACAACATCCAAAAAAACCCCAACCCCTGTAGCCTTGGGGAAGGGAAATACAGACATTGAAAGAAGAAGAAAATGTAAAAATTGGAAGACCTAAGGGAAGAAGAGCAAGTATTTGTTTTGGAGAGAAATTTCTGCTTGAGGTTGTAGCATACACCAATTACATGCTACCTGATGTGACTTACTTTGAGAATATAACCATTTGCATAACTAGTCCTGTGAACTGAACTTTGAAGGGCACAGAAAAGGAGCTACTTCTGTTTACTAGGTAGTGCAGTTTCCCCTTGTAAAACTCATCAGTGTCACTTGATGATGTGCTTAGTTTAAAAACAAAACAAATCAATAAACCAATTTGTTCTCAAATTTATTTTGGTTATTTCCCAGTGTGAACAACCTGCAAAAGCGTAAATGTTACAAGTTTGCTTGGGTAAAGTTTTACTGAGTTTGTTCGCTTATGATGGAGCCAACATTTTGTATGTGTTATATGCAGTAATGAATTTCTGTAATATATGTTGGTTTCTGCTTTGTTTTTCTCCACAGATCATTTCTCCTGAGTTTGCTGCCTACAATCCTGATTATTGGTTCTTTACTGTACACATTAAGAAGAGGCCCTGCAGGCTTAGGTCGAGCAGGGCGTGGAATGGGTGGACTTTTCAGTGTGGGTGAGACCACAGCCAAAGTCCTTAAGGATGAAATAGATGTTAAATTCAAAGATGTAGCTGGCTGTGAGGAGGCCAAATTAGAGATAATGGAGTTTGTTAACTTTCTGAAAAATCCCAAACAATATGAGGATCTGGGAGCAAAAATTCCAAAGGTAAGGGAATGATGATTTACCAGACAAAGACCTTATTCTTTTGGTAGTCCTCAGTATTCTAAATTGTTTTAAGAATGTTTACATACACAGTGCTCTCCAGCCTCTTTCTTCTAGTCAGGAAAAAAAAAGGCATGCAGTGCCAACAGTAACTGCAGTGCCAAAAGATTTGCCTCATGGAATACTTCATCTGTTCACGTGGGTCAGAAAGATACCTCGCCTGTGTGTACCATCCTTGTATATAATTGGTACAGAATTGCCTCTTGGCTGTGCTGTCGTGGGAGCCCACCTGATGACATTTTTTTGGTTTATTTTTAATGTGTCAGTGAAAGACAACACTGTTCCTGTAAATCTGAGACAGCAGAGTGATGTTGTATCTACTTTTTTTTCCTTTTGCTAATGTAAATTATATCCTCAGTTTGTTTCCTTGGACAATTTTGATTGTGGTGGAAGAGCCAGTGAACTCAATATATTAACATGAAGTTGTTTTAAGACACTTCATAGGCTTATGTTTTCTTCATAAGGAAAATACAGCTGTTTATCTTGCAGGGGGCAATTCTGACAGGTCCTCCAGGCACTGGGAAAACACTTCTAGCTAAAGCTACAGCTGGAGAAGCTAATGTACCGTTTATCACAGTCAACGGCTCAGAGTTCTTGGAGATGTTTGTTGGTGTGGGTCCAGCTCGAGTAAGTCTTTGGCCTTGCTCTTTTATTTCAGTATTGCTTGTTGAAAGGATATTGTCAAGCTTGGGAAGCAAACAGTTTGATTATATTTGAAGTTTTCATTTATGCAGATTATTTACAAGTGATGGCCTGCTTGTCTAAACATAAGAACTGTAGATGTACCTTTCATAAAAGGAACTAATGCAGTTCAGTATCTGGTGGCAGGCCACTGGGACCTTAAGGGTTTACCTCTTTGAAAAGAACTTAAAGTGAAACACAACTCTCCCAGATCATCTCTGAAGTATATTTATTAGCTGGCTCAAAAATATGTAGCTCGCTTGGCTACTGCTGTGGGAATGTCACATCCTGCTCTAAATCATCCCCATTTCTTTGAAGAACTTTCTCTTTGTAGTGTCAAACTTGTGTGTCCCAAGGCAATTATTTATATTTACAAGTGAGCTTCTGGTTGCAATAGCAGTCTGAGTGTCATGGAGCTAATGATTGATTTCTGGAAGTCAGGTGATTTAAATAACCAAATATATCAGCAACATTTTTTTTGTGCTCTTTTGCCTTAACTGTCTTAAAATAGCTCATTACGCCAGAGAAATGCTGGGCACAAGTATAGTGGAGGCTGTCCTTGCCCATGGTGGGAGGTTGGAACTAGGTGATCTT